CCGTGTTCCAGCGGACAGAGCTGCAGCGCAGGGCCTGACAGCAGGGGCAGTCCTCGGACAAATCGGCCATCGCAGCTTGAAGTAAGGCTGCCTTTCACGCTACAGGAGATACTGGGATTTAGAATGGTTTGGGTTGGAAGGGACCTTAAAGATCATCTGGTTCCAAGCCCCTGCCGTGGGCAGGGACACCTTCCACTAGACCAGGTTGCTCAAAGGCCCATCCAACCTGGCCTTGAGCACTGCCAGGGAGGGGGCAGCCACAGTTTCTCTGGGCAACCTGTGCCAGTGCCTCACCACCCTCATGGTGAAGAATTTCTTCCCAATATCTAATCTAAATCTGCCCTCTTTTAGTTTACAGACTTTCTGATTACCAGACAATAATTGGAAATCCTTAGATATCTATAGAAAGAGAATTAGAGTTTTGCTTTGGTGTGTTCATGTCTCTCTGGTTTGTGGCGAGCTGGCACTACCTGAGAAGTGAAGTGTCCTAGGCTGCAGCCTGACACGTGCTGAAAGCGCACTCCTGCTGAGCAGGCAGCTCATCCAGCGCGTCACGGCAAGGGTTTACATTTTTTTTTTCGTGGCAGGTGTAGGTTATGGGAGAATTTGGTGGCCGTGTTAGTTCAGAAGGCCTTAAATTCCACGGTGATTTACTGATCTCCTCATGAGCAATTTTTAATGTCTCATGTCAGGAGGCGTCGGTGATTTTAGTGAAATACGAATAACCCTTCTCTGTCTCCATGCAGACGATGGCCGAACAAAACCAGTCCCACGCAAAGGCCATGTGGAAAGCTTTGAACCGGCGGACAATAAGTGTCTTCTGAGAGCAACTGATGGAAAGAAGAAAATCAGCACGGTGGTAAGTGACAACTTCGGGTTAGAAAGATGAGTGGCCCTACTTGTCTTTTATTTACTGCCCCATATTTTAAGTGAATTTTGTCTTGATGTGGATTCCATGAGAACTGCCCTCTTAATGCCAGAGAAACCAGCTGGTAGCTGAACACAGAGCTGAGGCGGGGATGCGTTACAGTTACCCAAAGGCTCAGTGCTTCTGCTCAGCGCTGCAGATGGGACTGTGGTTCATGGTTTCGCTCTGCATGCTGGATTTTGCCTTGGAACGGCACTGCAGGGCAGCAGGAAGGGACTCTGCCTGCTTTCAGCAACCTGCGCTGTTGTGTTTAGAGTCGGGCAAAATTCTTGTGAGGGAAAGGGGAAGCAGCTCCTAGAGACATGGGCAGGAGGACGCAGGGCAGATGCAGGCACTGCAGTATGAGGACAAATGGTGTGGCTCCCAGGAGAGGAGAATTCCTGCACTCAAGCCCCAGGTGGCAGAGAGGGAGTTTCCTGTAGAGCTCGATGGAATTCCTGAAGGTTCTCGCAACCCAGGAAAGAACTGAATGTTCATAGACTGTGGAACAGGAAAGGGATCCTTGCTTCCTGGCAAGAACTTGTGGGCATAGGTAGACTCTTCTCAGCCTTAATCTTGCTTAGTGTGCATATTTTTTTTTTCTCATTTACAGAGCTATATTTATTTCAGGAAGTGTTAACTAGAAGTTGAAAACCTGATTAGCATTTACTTTGAATGAGAGATCCGGAAAGGCTTTAGCTGACTGGAGCTCTCCTCTGTGATGTAACCCAAGGAAAAATGTTGCTTTGAGAAATAGTTGAGAGAATCGGGGCTGCAACATATTTTTATGGCCCTACAAGTAACTAAAACCTTCCTTAGAATGTTTCTTCACATTCTTCCCACTTGAAAACACACGGATTTGGGATGAATGGCCTCCAGAGGATTTTGTTAATCGAGCAAGGAGCGTTTTTGGTTTTCTAAATCAGTGAAGTCCTGTGACATGTCAGTGCAGCCTGCCTAACACTGAACGCGATGAGTTGATCCAACTGCTGCTACAAAGATGAGATGGTCACTGGTGGGTGATCACGTACTGATACTTGGTTTGTAATAGAAGCCAATGTTTTCTTGCTTAACCTCCAGTATTACTTTTGTAGGTGAGCTCAAAGGAAGTAAATAAATTCCAGATGGTAAGTTCTGTGTGCCTTTTATCTTCTTTTTCTGTAGGTATTGGGCAACAGTCAGTAGGAAACGCTAGACAGCTGTGAACAGGTTGATTCAGTGCTGAACTGCCATACAGATCAGCCTTAGACTACCCATCTATCTGCATTTGTTAAAAAAAGAGATCCTTTTGTAGTTTATCTAACTTTCTGCATGGGTTTGGAGACAATAGTTTCCCAGCATTGGGGTATAAGAGCATGATTCTCTAACAGAGAAAATGCAGATATCTATCCATTAGCAACATGTAGAATGTTACCTCTAGTATATTGTAACTAAGTATTTGTTCTTTTAATTGTTCCAACTGTTGTTTCAGGCGTATTCAAATTTGCTGAGAGCTAACATGGATGGCTTGAAGAAAAAAGACAAGAAAAGCAAAAACAAGAAGAGTAAAGCAACGCAGTGACGGAACACAGTCCTGCCATCACTGTAACAGACTTTAACCTTGCTCAAAGCAAAGTCCGTTTCTTCTTGAGTTACTACTTGTCTTTTGGCTTTCCTTCCAGCAGGATATTGGGATGTGATCAGTACTTTTGTTTAAACTGATATCAGAAGGTGCTTTCTCTGGATTGTTCTATGGCAGGAGTATTTATACTGAAATAGCTTTACGCTCAGTTGCCAGCTAGTTTTGTACTTACACTGCCGTTTGTTTTGTATTATACAAGCAGGCAGTGTAAAACCTGTCTGGGGGATAACACAAGGTGAAGAGAAATGCACTGTACCAGGAGCAAAGAAAGACTGGAGCAAGAGTCTCGGTGACAGACGCCCGGTTTTATAGATAAGCCTCAGTAGTGCTAGGGAAAGTGGGTGCCAACATATTATCAGGAACAGCAGCTTTCCTGTTTCTCTCTTATTCTGAGGGACATGTCTACATGATGCAGTGCAGATACCCCAAAGGCAGCCAGCACAGTACCTGAGCTCCTGCAGAGCCAGGCAGCTGTGCTGACCCTGGCTGGGGGGAGGGTGGGCAGGACTGCATCATGTTCCCTTCAGACATGGCTTAAGAATGCTTGCGTCAACCTAAATTTTTTTTTTAAAGCTTTATCATTCAGTATATTCAGGGACCTGAATGTCCCTGTATGTCACATCTTAGAGCAGCTCCTTCGTCCGAGCAGATGTAAAGGGTGAATACTTAATTATTCTATTAAACACAATGAGAAATGGACGTGGTTGCGATGACTGATGTGACTTTTCTTGGTGAATGGCTAGGAATGGTGCGGTTATCTGCCTTCAGGGCTTGCTCCCCTGATGCTGCTTCGTGTGGTGCTGTTACAACTTTCACAGTTCTCAGCAGTTAAATTTACCTCTTTACATATTTTAACTTTAGCCTCCTCTTTACTACAAGGAAAGGGCAGAAAAAGTAAGTAGGTATTTCTTAATACAATGAGCCTGTGGTGCTAAAGGCAATCATTTGAGTTAGACAAAGAAACATGAGTAAGCTGTTTAAGCACCAGGTAGCAGGTGGGGAGGGAGGGTAAACACCAGTATATTTCCAGAAATCCTTTTGTGCATGTTCACTCCAGTATTATAAGTAGTTTGATGTGAAATACAATGCATAGTTAACTATGGCTGCTGCAGCTCAGCTTCACTAAGTTACAGTTTAACTTCAAGAAGATATAAGATTCCTGTCATTACTATGACTTTAACTTCTAATCTCCCAACCCAGGTGAAGAAAGCTACTTTAAAACCTTGGTTATGCCTCTAGCGCGTGCAGGTTACTGTTTCTATTAAAAGTCTTAGGTTTAGGTTCTTCAGGTTTGAAACGTAGCGGGTCTTATCTGCCAGAAGCTGCCACTTTATTTGAATGTGAAAGTAGAGGCAGGACAAGCATAAGCAGCCGGGCTTGCAACAACTCTCTGCTTGAAATCTTTTATGCAGGAATTAAAACAGCAGGCTTAAAAAAAAAACAACACAAAAAGCTTGCATTATGTATTTCAAGAAGGCTCAGCAGCCAAACCTTTTTATTACGTAAAACCCCTTCTTCAAAACACTTTAAAACAGTTTGGTAGAGTTGAAGATAATTCATCCTCTCTAAATCTTGCACTGAAGTTTCTCATTTCCTGCTTCGGCAGGAGGGTTGGCCTAGATGACCCACAGAGGTCCCTTCCAGCCCCTACCATTCTGTGATTCTGTGATTTCAGTACCAGTGTTGCATGTTGATATAAAAGGCATTCTGAAACTATTTAAAAAAAAAAAAAGTAGTTTTACACCTGCACAGCTGATAATCTCCTTTGTGGCATAAGGGGTAAGAATTACATGATAATACAGATCTCTGGCTGGAGTTGGACCTGCTCCTTAATTGCCTATAAAACACTTATTTCCGCTTTTGGATATAAATTTACAGTTTTATATTACACATGAAATTCAATCTGGACACATAAAGAGGCATTAGTTGCCTGTCTTGCGTTATTACAGCTTTCTGAAATTCCTTTTGACAAAACACTGTTATCTGTTAGTAAAAGCATCCCATAAAAGATGCTTTAAGCACTAAAACAAAACCTTGTATTCGTCTCGGAAACTGTACAGGATGAGTGCAGGAACCCTACAGAGGGAAGGAAAAGAGACAAGTTTTAAACTTTGAAACTGCAACTTCAAAAGCTACAGTATCTGTGGCAAACCACAAACATTCCGAAGGAAAGCAGCCAGTCTTAGTTCCTTTGGCTGTGACTGCAATTTCCCCCTTCATCCTCTCTCCCTTTACCTTGCCTGTTCAGTCTCCACTCTCATCTGGAGGCTGACGCCCCAGCAGTGTTCTGTGTGCGGGCAACACGTGGGAAGGGAAGGCTTTGTCAGGACTGCACTATGTTCACACCCAACACTGTACAGAGTATTATTCGTATGCAGTGATTGGGTTCTGTTGCTCACAGCCTTGCAAGCCACAGGAAGAAAAAAAAATGCTTCACTTGGTACTTCGTGGCCTTAGTAAACATTAGCAAACTTGAAGCAATTGTGATGCATCTCAAGAAAAAGGAATCAAAGTCAGTTTTAGTCTCATTTAAAGGTTGAGTAGTGCTTTCAGGCTGAACACAGGTTTAAGAAAATGTATTACAAATTAAATACAATGTCCCACACCAGGACATAAATACCCAGGTACCAGTACGTGCACCAGCTGAAAATGAGAGGCTTAGAACTGGATGTGCCCAGACTATCTGTTTCAGCCTTGCCAGAATCCAAGGAGACTAGGAGTGTAACATAAATGTTTTTATGCTTAGAAAACAGAAACAAGCTTTACTGTATGTGCTGGGGGAGCATGCATCGTGTTTGCTTAAAGCTGGGCAGCCTGTCAGCTGTGCCAGATTCCCATTCCTTGTATTCCTTCAAAGCAGGAAGAATTAAGTGTGCTCACGAGTTCTGAAAGGCAAGCTGAGTTCCTCCCATGAGAAAAGAGGGTTATGATGTGGTAGAATAGCAGTATACCTGAATGTATATAGTTGTTTGCTATTCAGGTTTATGAACAAAGCAGCAAATGAGGTAACAGTGGGAATACATTTTAGAATTCCTTGAAAAGGCTTATAAAAATGAAGAATTTACATGGCCAAGAATTCACATTTTACCACATGTGAGGATTAGATGACCAGTGAACTATTCCCATAGTACTTGAGGAACTATACGTATTGCCTATTTTTTCCTGAGGGAGGGGGGAAGGGGAAGACAAATTAAGAGCAGCTTATTTAGTAGAGTTTGAATGCAGAAAAAATTGACATGTTTTATGTACCTGTAAGAGCTTAACAAATTTACCTCTTTTCCATTTTGATACTGTAAATTTCATCACAAATGGCTTGTAAGTATGAACATCTCTGTTTTGGCCATCGTGACATCAGTTGCCTCACGGTAGCATCAAAGGCTTGTCTATCTCCATCAAACTAAGAAAACAAAATTGAGAAGGAGCTGTGATACAGCCTGACATTCTCTCATGAAGGAAGTACTTCTACCAGTAGGATTAGGTCTTCTGAACACCGTGTGAAGTCAATGCTCCTTAATTAAACAGGTCTCAAACAAAATAATATAAACAACATGCAACCCGATTTTTTTTTAAAGTATTAAGAGTTTAGTGATCAGTTTCTTAACACAGATAGTTTAGCGATAAAAAGGTGTAAGCAATGAGAAGGGCTCTATCAGTTTTGCTGTACTTGGACAGAACATGAGAACTGCGTTGTAAGGGTGGTCAAAAGTCAATGATGCAGGCTGATTGGGTGCATTTATTTATTTACTTAAAGTGTGATAAACGATCTCCAGGATTTGGACAGACTGGGTGAAGTAAGCATTTTGAAAATAATTTCAAGTGTTTCACTGGGGTCTGATTACGAGACAAGCACTGCTTCAGAGCAGCAGATACAGGTATGGAAGCACTTAATCCCCTTCCAGGCAGGATGCCATTCTTGAGTTTGATTGCTGGGGGGTGGGGAAGCATCCATCTCTCCAGTAAGAACTGCTGACTGTAAAGCCACTACCGTCATTGGTGAGTTCTTAAAAGTGTCAATATAGTGCTCACACACACCCTTTTTATCTTGGCTTCACTAAGATGTCAGAGCTACTGTACTCGGAAAAATTGCCTCTGTATTTTGGGTCCTCCTTCAGTAACAGCTACAAGAAACACCTTTGTTGAAACTACTATTAATGCTTATCTGGTTTCTGAAAATGAGCAGTAAGGCTTAATTTCAGTTAACTGTTCTTGGGAGAAAACCCAGAGCTTTGGCTTAGGACTTCCAAATGGTGTCTTGCCTCACTTGCGCATTTGACAAAAAGATTTTTCTAGCCTCAGTCAAGCTTGTTGGGTAAAAAAGTCCATTCAAGTTTTAAAACCGAATTCAGACTCCTTGAAGGAGAAAAACTAGAGTGGGTGAATTTTACGTTCCACTTCATTAGGAACAGAATTTATCATCTATTGCTTAATTAGAGTTTTAACGAAAATACTTAATTGCTTACCTCTAATGATAAGAAGTGTATTACAGTTGCTTTTGGCAGATCTACCTGTAAAAATATTGTGAAGAAATCAATACTTAACAGTTCTTCTGTTATCAGTTTGCCAACTAGAGATCAGCTATACTGAAGGGAGTCAGACTTTTTGATTTCCAAAGCAGCACTCGTGCTGATAGAGCTGGGAATTTACCAAGGTTTTAAGCATTTTGAACAAACTGTTTGTGACAGATGCCATTATAGAAAGTTCCAAACAGACATAGGCAAATAGGCAGTATGTTTTCTGAAAAGCATACACCATTTTAAAGCCCTTTGTGACAAGGTCAGCAAAGTCTAAAAGCTATATACAAACAAAAGCTATGTTGGTTTAAATGTAAGAGCGAATCTAGCAGGAACAATTTATTAATTCTACCACAGTAGTTAGCATAAGGGCAGGTTAAGAATTTGCAACTAAATAGTTGTTAAATTTTGTTCTACGCAACTGTCCAATACACACAATTTCAGATACTTTTCAAGTATTAAAGAAACATGCTATGGGTCTTATTTAACCAGAAGTTTGGTTCTTTTGGTATCTCTAAAGTGAGGCTATTGGCAGTAGTTTGTTGCAGATACCAACTGCATGATCCAATTCAATTAAGAATTTGAAATAAATTCAGGCTTCTGCCAAATACTTACTGCTAAAATCTCAATCTCATTTGTCTTCTGTTGCAGGCTAGAAACAAATGTCTGAAGTCTTGTTTGCACCTGGCAACAAAAGACGGGGGGGGAAGTAAAATACACTGCTTCTGCGACACAGGTTGTGAACACTTATTTTCTGTTTCACAGATGATGAGAACGGAAGAGGCCACTTCTAACATAAGATGCAGAACTACACCATATTTAAACTAAAATTCACATTTAATCTAATTTTTCAGTAACAATTCCATGATAATTCTTGATGAGTAGACAGGAAGGAGACTGTGGCTGAGTCACTCTTGCAGCAGTGTTACCATTTGAGAATACGGGTACTGTACCAAAGCAGACAGAACTGCACGTTACAATGCGAATTCTTGCACATGTGGATAAAATTGCCTTTCTGTTTCTGGATGTTGGATAACTTTTCAGAGCAATGTGAGAACCTGTGACTGGATACAGTGGATTATCTCTAGCTGAAGAAGGACGACTGATTTGAAAGCCAAACCAAAGTACGGGTCACGCCCTGTAACAATTTTTGCCAGAGCAAGCTAGGAACCCTGCAAAGGCAGCACCTGACAAATGCAGTGGCAGCCTTGCACTGCGCTGTCTTTTGTATAAAAGCATCTTTCTAAGGTACATCAAAACCATGAAAACAGGAAGTCTGTTTAGCTCAAAGCTCAGAGAATAGCATCCACATCTTTGAGTTCCGAGAACTACTTATAGGGGAGGATTCTTTTGTTACACACCCAAATTTGGACTGAAGAGCGGCTAAGATTACAGTTCTGTTTTACCATACGCTCTAAGTATTTTGAGGCCAATAATCCTCAAGGAGTAAACTCTTAACATTTGTTTCTAACATAATTTAGTCTTTTCTACGTTATTATGACATCATATTTTAGGCAGGGTTTTGTTTTGGTGTTTTTTTGTTTTGTTTTGTTTTTTACATCTGCAATTTTTTCTTAGGCCTTTAGTTTGAGACAACACAATGAAATACAGAGCATCTGCTACAAACGTAACAAAAGTATGCTGAACGTGCACCTTTAACACACTTCAGCATGTATAAAGAAAAAAAAAAGGAAAATTCCAGAAGCATGGTTCCTACTAAAATAAGATTTCTAATATATGTACAATGATGGCTGAGCCACAACAATGTCACAGATAATCCCCAAGATCCAAAGTGTTAAAAAAGGTGGCGTTTGCCTTCAACCTTTTGTGCTGTTCATAGTCTATTTGATGAATAAAGAACAAACAAGATGTACTTCTGCAACTTAGGTGATAGTGAAAACATGAATTCTACCATTCCTTTACTTCTAAGGATTGCTTCTTAATACTTATTTGATGTGTGTGTACCTGAATTTCTTGACGACGCCTGGCACTGGCAGATAATTTTTCAGGAGCTATAACACTAACATTAGGCACTACAAGAGTTCCATGTGATTCAAATGCACCTAAAATGCAAACATATAGTTTTAGATTATACTCTTTCTTTATACAAGAAGTAGCAAGAAACAGAAAATGCACAAATATTAATAAGCTAAGATCTGTAAAGTATGAGAATCGAAAAGCGGCTAAAAACCCCCAAAGTCAGTCAAGTAGATAGGATAATGAAACGTGTGCATGTAAATCCTCAGATGCTCACTTACGACTTTGAAAGACTGGTTGGTAAGACTAAGAAATTTGGTATCTTAGATCAGTATTCCCTGAAACTAATAAAAGGTTCCAAATGGCCTGCAGAATTTTACAGAGGAATGTACCATACCTAGTGTCATAAAAAGAAAAGCTATTATGAGAATGAGGCAACTATTTAATGGTCAGTGCCATACCAGAGTCAATAACAAAACAAACAATAAACCGCAGCCCCCAGCTCCCCCAAATAACAATAATTAAAATTTGAAATGGCTTATTTTGAAATCCAAATTGCCACTTTTGGTAGTCACACACACACAAAAAAACCCCCAACAAGTTACGCATAGCCACCTCTCTCCCTCACTGTTATGCAAGGAGGTGAAAAAGTGTTCCTTTAAAAGAAAAACCACCACCACTACCACCACACACAATACCAGTACTTAATAAAATAATTATCAAAAATTACAAACTTTATCCACACAATAAGTACTTATTATTATTTTTTTATATACAAGCTTCTATTATCAGACTAAGGACTGCAAATCTGTAGCTAGAAATACAAAGGCATTTTCACTTGAAGAAAAAAGTAGAACAGTGGGTCAATGTACACATCTCTCAACCCTCTAACAATGGCAGGTCACATCATTTTTCATCAAGATGACATTTAATTTCTCCTCAGCTAGGAAATGTTCATGCTTTTTGACTTTTCCCCCCTCCTGAATCCCTGCATCAACAAATGCTTGTATGGGGAGTATTCTAGCTGTTGGTCTGAGCACTTACTTTGTTAGTTTGGAGAAAATTTCAGTTTTAGATCACTTGGAATATTTCAGATTAGGAGGAAGTGTCTCTAACCAGAGGCACTGCTAGAAAACACTTTCTTGCTCTGACTTTGGTAATACTTTTAAAATTTATGTTCCAGCAATATTTTCATACAAAACAGTTTTTAAGCAGAAACAGTTTGTATGTTCTATAACTAGAGGCTAAATACCTGAATTATTAGTAAATGATCCCTTTTGATTTGGTACTGAAAGATTATCTGAGGTTTCTCTAAAAATAAACAGAGAGAGTTAGAGAAACACATTTACAATAATGAAGAAATACTGTAATAATATCTAATTTCAGATTATCATACAAACATACTTATTCCAACAGATAAAGAAATTTATGGAGAACTCCCAGCACGTAACTGCAGATTAAATTCTATTCTGGAACAGATAGGAAATCATATCAAATTAGATCTACAGGCAATCTTTATGTTTCTTACAGATACGAAAAAAAAATGTACTCCCCATCATGCAGGCATGATTTAGATCCTAATATTAGAATATATTACGAGAATATTCTCTCTAAATTATTAATTTAATCTACAATTTCTTACAGGTTTCTGTGAGATACTACTAAACCATCAAAGTAATATTTATACTTATGATCACACATATTCCAAGAAGCTTTCAACAATTAGTTGGGATCCCTTCACTTTCCACACTCAGGATTCATTAACAAAGAAATTTTCCAGTGTTATTACAATCACAGTTACTGCATTTCTCTGTTTAGTATTGCCAAATACGAGTTTTTCTATATTTGTTCTTAGGATCTAAAAATAAGGTAACTTTTGGAAAAAATTATCTTCTTTCACAGCTTCCAGCAGATGCTGTAGATCCATCACGAAACACATGAGAATCAGGTTAGTTGCACAGTTAAATGCCAAGACTGGCTGAGGCCAGAAAAAGGCGAATGAAGAGGGCAGGCAGCAGGACATGTCAACCACCTGCACAAGCTATTGCTCGAGGTAAGCATTTCTCACCTTAATGACTTCCTTTATTGTTGAATTTGTCAAATCTATTCGTTTCTGAATTCTAGTTTGTGTGAATAAACCACGTCTGTTCCTGCTGCCAGTACACACATATACATAGATGTGTGTATACTTACACATTTACAAAGGGATATGTGTGAATAACAGTTATGCTGCTTATGCACACAGGTGCGACTGTGGCCTCTCCTGTGATTTCTGTACTAACTTCTATGGGTGACAGTAAATAGTAATTTGGACAGATAGGATGATGGGGTGTTGCTGCATACCCCGAGTCTTTGCCAGGCGTTACCTTCACTCGTGCCAGCCAAACCGTACAGGTGTGCTACAATTACGCCTTTTGTTTTACACTATCAGCCCTGCCTCAGAATGAAAGGGATTTGCTGCTTCAATTCTTTGATGACACCGTACACGAACATAAGGGGCTTCTGGTCAGCCACAGGGACTTGCAGGCAGTCCCGCCATACAAACAGCGCTGGTGTTTGGGCAGCATTTGAGCTGGGTAACCGCACAGCCTTGGAATTTATGAAGTGCTACGCATGTTTCAATGTAACTGCGGCTAGGGAAATCGGCCTCTTTCTTAATCTCAATAAAATTCTATAACCAAGCCTTTTGCTTTCTTTTTGCCTCAAAAGGAATTCAGCAAAGCTCTTACTCTTTACTGAATAAAATCAAGGTTTAACTGAGCATATCTTAAAATTATTTCATTAAAACATACATTCACTTTGATTTTGACTGTTCACATTGACATGTTACGCTACTTACCTACTACATCTTTCGTCACAGATTTTAGTTTTCAGTTTCTGGATCAGGTGATCTACCAAGTCAGATTCTAAAATCCTTTTCTCCGTCTGTCTGTCTTTCTCAAAGGATTTCACCTATGATGTAGTTCAGTGATTCTTAAAATTGTTAAAACGGTATATGAATAAGCTTCTCAAATTTAATCAAAACTAAACTGGATTATTCACCCGTTAAAAGGTGAAGCAGTCATGGGCAGGAAGCTATTATCATTATCAATCAGTCACTGCCAATTACATGTTTTAGTAGATTTTTTTTTTCCTCCAACCCATTTCCTCTGCATTCCCCAAGCTTAAACTAGGTTGGCTACTTGTATTTAATAGGTGATAACTGTTTTTTTTTTAACAGAATGGTTTATAGGTGCAAATACTGTATTAATGAAAGCATATTTCGTTTTGGTCTTTTTTGTTTTTTAAGTAAGGAATTATGTTGGAATAAGGCTTGCTTTTCAGTTTGCAAGAGTTGGACTCAAATGTTCAAAACTCAGAATATCTGCTTCATGTTTACTGGGAAGAGATTAATCCGCAACACCACCATTCACCTCATGAGCAGGTTCTTTGTTAGTTTTGCTCCAATAAAGCCATATTTAAAATAATGCTCTGCAGTAGTCTTGTGGAAGAGATTGATGTATCACATTCTCATCATCAAAATCTACTTGTTCATACAGTTATTGCACAGTTACTCGCTATCTGTTACAATGACAAGGAGCGCATGAGTAACAAGTGAAAAATGTGTTAGTACTGCACATTGGCTAGGTAACATCCAGATGCTGTCAAATAATTACTTTTTATAGTCAGAGAATGAATCTTTATTCAAAGAATAATGATCTTTTTCCTAATGATCCAGAATCAAGAATATTTTAAAACTGCTAACTTCTAAAAAGGTGCCAAGAACCACAGGCTGCAGAGCACAGAAGGTGGTAATTCGCGTTGTGATACAGTCCAGTCGTTCTATCTTAACCTTAGCTTACAGAGATGAGGTGTGTGGTTCAGGCTCTGGCTGTTTGAACTACATGGGTTTTTTTAGATTTACGTTTTGGTTTTTGTTTTGTAACATGGAAAGCTGTCAGCTGCAAAGATGACTGAGTCAACTAATTAATTTTGTAGCTTCCAAGAAATCAGCGACAACAGAAACCTTTTTCCACTCGGAGACACACTGATGACTCGAAGTCAAGCAGTGTCTGCACTTGTTTTCGGACTTTCCTAGATAATGAGTTAGGTGAATAACAGTGTTGTAGAGGGATAAAAAGCAGGCTTCTTCAGAAGAACTTTCAACTACTTAGCAACTGAAACTGTATTTACCCAAATTCCATCTACTTAAATATTTTACTGAAAATAATCATGACCTTAAAAAAAAAAAAAAGCGCGCAGTGTAGAACAGCAGATTATAAATACAAAATACAACCGAGCATCCTCTGGTCCCACACTTACTTTCACATGACTTCCTTCTTTATCTGACACAAGAGCCACATATGTAATCCCAGAGCATCTGCAATATTCCTGCAGTTCTTCCTGGGACTAAAATGGGAAGAGAGGAAGGGCAATGGGACAGAAATTTGACAGATAAAATGATCACTTAAGTAATCAGAGTTGCCTGTCCTTGATTAAAATAACTTGATATGCAGCAGTTACACTCATCATATAAGCTTCTGAGCGAGGAAAGCTTTATTGATGAGTCCAGGAGGTGAAACTTCATTATGCATATATTGATCCACATAATGCTCCTTAAAAACGGAAATCTCAGTCTACACTAGGCAGAGAGAATGCCTAGGCTCTGCAGTGCTAGTTCCCACATGGAAGGGCTAGCTGGATCTAGAAGTGCAGGGTCCAGATAACAGCAAAAATTTGAGAGCTGACTCCAGCTGGGTTTCACATAAACCTGAGGCTGACTTACATCACCTTCACTGCTGAGCTTACTGAAGGGCTTGCTATGCTGACTTAGCAGCATTCGACAGAGGCAAGAACTACCCAAATCTTCATTCCTTAAGAATCGCGAGAACCAAAGGTGATCATAGGAAAAGCATAATGATATGGATTTTTTTCAGTCCTGGGGGATTGAAAAGGTTGGAAATGTTACTGCAAAAGATTACAAAATGTCAGCGCACTAAGTGAGTGAGGGAGCTCAAAACTGCCCGCTCTGCAGCACACGACTCTGAATGGGCAACTCCACAGCGTTTCTTTTGTTAGTCACCAACTGGCATATTTAAAGGTGAACCAGACTCACAATCCTCAGACAACTGCCACCACTATTAAGAGGGACTTCAGCATTGTCATGTAGCTTACTACTCCAGGGAGGCAGTAGTGGTTAAAGGTCTGCTTGGTTTCAACTGGAGAAAAAAGGGCATGACTCAGCTTGCTACTCCTTCTCCTTCTTACCACACATCTCTCCAGGGACTACATGGGGACCCCACAGCGTATCTCGTATCTCTGTTCACTCAACTGTGTTTCTAACAGTAGAATGATGTCAATATTCCCTCTGAACCTAACAGTCTTCAGCCATCTGGATACATTTATAAGTTGATGCTACTGTTCTGTTTCAGATTTGCCCTTTATTAAGGATTAACTCATTAACTCAGAGATCGTACTTGCAGCCCTCATTGAAAGAGAAATTTATTGCCTTCACTGGTATAAAATATGCTTCTACTTTGAAGCATCCTCACTTCACTTAATCAGAGCTAACATTTTAAATTTAAGATGTGACTCTCCCTCTTGAATTCAATAGGCGTTGCACTCCACGCTCAGTGTATAACTGGGGAAGGTCACTTAATTCCTCTGTGCTTTGAGGAGTGCTTAAAGATCTTCCATCACACTTAAATACTCCAGGAGGCAGAGAGGAAGAACGTTGCACGGCCAGTGAGACTTTCTTAACATTACTGTTTCTGAAATACTCTGTTTATGAGTCTGTAACTCAATATAAACTAGAAAAAATTAAGAGTGGTCTCAGGCTGCACTAATCTTAAGCGAACAACAATATAGTGAACATTTGGAGATAGAAATTCTACCTGGGACCAGTCATACATTATTTCGGCTGGAATTCCTGCAGTCCAGAGTTTCTGAACAATATTGATAGCTCTACCCATTGACATCTGACCAACGCTTACAACCAGCAGGTCACACGAGCTGACAGAAACCTAAAGGGGAAGTAAAAACAAGGGGGGCAATATTAGCCACAAGACTGTGTACAGAAACACAGAAGAAAACAGGTCATCTTGACATTTGCTGTCTGTTTCAGGATGGTATTATTTTGGAACACATCTGAACATCTGTTTTTTTGCCCATCTGTAGCTACAATTAGGTTACTGAACTGTCAGGAATAAACAAGCAATTAAAAAAAAACCCACCTCCCAAAAAACAGACTTACAGAATCCTCCACACCGGAAACAGCAGCAGTTATTTTATCTATAGCTATGCTGACTCCAACAGCTGAAGGAACTGGTCCCACCATCTGTGGCCCTCTAAATTGTGGAATCTCAAAACAAGACAAAAACAAAATGGAAGACCCAAACAGTTATCTTTGCAAAATGTCAAAAAGGTTTTTCATGGTTTTTAAAAACATCTAAACTTGTTAAAAGAGATGAGCACATACCAGATGATCGTATCTGCCCCCTGCAGCAAGAATTTCAGGCACAGTTCTTTGTCTTCTTTTGATGTATGCTATAAACTGAAAGATAATACCATTGTGCTGCTGTATTTTGTAAACTAGTCCCAGATTTATAGAAACCTGTAAAATAAAAATGAATACGTGTACAAGATCTGTACCAATACTACCGGTTAATATAATTGATTTCCTATTAGCAGTATGGATTGAAAACACTGTTCTCACATAAGGAAGACATTCCATATCTCAAAAAAATTAAAATACGATTAAAAATAAGGAAATGTTGCGTTAATCTTAAAGCATCCCAAGGGACCTACAGCACAAAACCCAAACAACAAGCCTCCAGGAAGGTGGAGGAGAGGCCTTTAGTAGGAATCAGCTTTCTGTATTTTTAAAATACTTATGGTTTGTTTCAGAATTGGAAATTCCTTTATGCTCTAGGTAATGCCTTCAATCTTGACTGAAAAAAAAAAAAAAAAAAAAAAAGCCTGTGTGTCATTAGACCGAAATTAAGCTAGAGACTTCTGACTGGAAGATGTCTTATTCTTTAAATGTGTCTTTTTAAAAAAAAACAAACAAACAGCTAAACAAAACAAAACAAAACCAAAACCCAAAACAATGCCAGTATTATTACTTGCCATCAAAAGACACTTGGATGCATTTCTTTCTATTTTAAAATATCTTTACTTTGTTTCCTGGCAAATTACAAGGCCCAGCAGCCTATAAATCCATTAATTTGTTAACAGAGTATTTCACAAACCTGAAGTTTTATTCCAAGTTGCTTTAACAGACCAATGATTTCCTCTAAATCCTTCATGCCATGCTTCAACAGCTGAGTGACACCTGGCTTTTGTTTTATCACGGTGTTTAAAAATGGAAATACATTACTTGCTTCTCCCTTCTGCTCAATGAATCTGTAGAGTCGAGAAAGCTAAAAACAAAAATAAAATAAAAACCCTTCAGCAGCACTACTGACAGTGCTCATAACAGGTCACATCTAAAAAAATGAAAAATACTTGACTTGGTGTTAATAAAAGATCTTTTTTGCTTGTTTGGCCCAGCAGCCTGTTTCTACCTACTGAGTTGAGGAAAGGAAAAGGAATGGACAGACACAGGGTGTCCAGAAGTTAAGCTCAACTCTTCATGTGCACTCATCAACATTTACAGAATTTTTTTTAAAGTTTCTCTCAGTTTGTTTTACTAAATACCACCGTACAGTATTCCATGTACCCTGTAGTTGTTTCCACAGTCTGAAAAATAGGTTTAAAAGAAGAAACAAACTTGGACAGTGGCGATACTGACTTCCAGAGAGAACAGAGAACAAAATCAGACCACTTTCAAAGACAGTGATCTATTTTGAACGGCAGATGTAACAGTTTATTTTTCTTACTCTGGTTGATTAAACTGCGAAGTAAATAAAACATTACTGACTTCTGGCAAGTTACAGGGAAATTAACACAATTAAAATTACTTACACTATTTGATGTGAGAGAAAGATTACAGAATTTGGCTTCTACTTCTCTTTTAGTTAGCTTTTCAGTCTAAAAGAGAAACAGATTCAAATGTATTCAACAACTGAGTTAAAAAAAAAAAGTTACGATTGCTCAGAAGAATTAAAATACAGCTTTCCAATACCTTTAATTAAAGGTTGCATTTACAAACTGCAATAATACTATAAAAGAACAAATCAATAAATAACACATTTTCCACTTATCTTATAGTGAGGCCATATTGGGCTTGGTTTCAAGAAGCAACAAAAAGTATAAAAATACCAACTTTGTTGAAAAACACTTTCGCGTAAATATTGAAATGCTTATGTAATTTAATAAATAAAATAATAAAATGAAAGGAAATAAAAAAGGCATTTTGTTGGGATTTAAACAAAACCTGAATTATTCAATGAATTTAATCCATTTTCTCTGCTTATAGGGTATAAAAGATCAACATGATATTAAGATACATTTAGAAGTTTTTATTGAATAGCCTACCAGTTCTTAATTATAAAGGTGAACAATTATCTCATAAATACACATTTAAAAATCATCCTAAAACATCCCAATCCAGAAGTAACAAAAAAGTAATTAATTCAAGTTTACAGCCCAAAGATAGCCAGCCTTTTTATGTATCAACAGGATATTCCTTGTTAGGCTGGCAATACACTGTTACTCATTTTTAGAGAGAGCTCCACACAGTAAGATACTCTACAGTGATGATTACAGTGAATAGGTTAATAACCAGTATCTTACCACAGCATCACAGAGAATGATGTAAACTTGATTGAGTTTATCCTCTGGTATCCCACAGTGCAAAAGTATAGCTTTCAGCAAGGCAGTGTGGTTCAAGTAAATACTGTAATTTCTTTCCTACCAAAGGGTACATAAAAAAGAAAGGAAGAAAAAAAAAAAAAGTTTTACTTGCACTCCATTTTGCTTTAAAAAAAAAGAAAAAAAAAGGTTTCCTGAACATTTAATAATAGTTGAAAACTACTTCAGACCTCTCCTTCCACCACCTTACCTTCCATCTAGAACTAAAGAACAGCAAGGTTTGTCCCATTCTACAATAATCACTTGCCTGACAGAAGAAAGATGTTATTTCAATGGCACCGTAAGGATTCAATTAATATTTCCTTCGCACACACACCTATGCTTCATTTTAAGTTTACCTATGAAAGACATTTTTTATTTAAATGACAGTGTTCTATAACTGACTATTGATAAAATGTGGAAACAGTTTTGTACCTGTTAAGGTTAAAGGAACTATCCTTTTTAAGCACATTAGACTAAATATTAGATTAGATTAGTTAGATTAAAATTTTAGGATGGAAAAGAGAGCAAAAGGGATGATTAGAGAATCTACCTGTAGCACTGAAAACTCTTGAATGATTTCTGAAATGGCATAAATTGTTTCTGCTACAGGCAAAAAGCTATTTCCAGTAGATGTAATAATGTCAAATGCACATTCTAGGAGTTCTCTGGGATGACAGCGGTCTAACTTCCGAGGTCTGAAAACTCGCTCTATACAGTACCTAAAGGAAACATAAGAATGCATCAGCATCTTCAGTGGTCACCATCACAAAGCACGGCATCTGTGCAAAACGTCATCTCTACGTCGCTTACCTTTTCAAGTTTGATATGTTATTTCTAGCTACAAATCTTGCAAAAGGAATCTGAAAAATACACGAAAATTGTTGAAATGAAACATTCAGTCTGACTAGACTCTGAAATTGGATATGAATTACTACCATGCAGTAACACTCGCACTCTCACGTGTGTAATAATGCCTTCCATATTTGCCATAGCCAAATAGTATTAATCACCCTCACTGCAAATTTTAAATAAAAACATCCCGCCCCCCAAGTTCCTCGAAGAGCTTGGGGAAGGACACAAGGAGCTTTCTTAATTATCCTAATACAGGAAAAATGCACCAGCAATTGACTATAAGCCTATTAAAAAGTACAAACAGGTATTTTGCTGTTTACGTAGACATAAAGGAGTACTTTTTAATAAATTTGGTCAACACATTTTCTGAAGCAAGTAATTCCAACAGAATGATTGATTTTGTAAGATCCTGCAGAAATCCTTAACTGTGAATCATACTGTATAGCTTGATATTATAAATGCAAAGAAAGAGTTAAACTGCCCTTAAATGAATGAAACGGAACATAAAAAGTCAGGTTCTTTAACCATCAACAATAAACAAAAAATAAATGACTTAAAGCATTTAGGTGTTAAATTAAATGTAAGGTGATTAACTAGGCCAACATTGCACATAATTGGATAGTACTGACAGAGGAATCCCAGACAGTAAAATTTCAACTGTGCAAACAGCAATTCCTCTCAAGAGTAGCATCATCCTTGACAACATCTGTCTGAGGAACATAAAACTGGGCGGCCTGTTACCCACATTCTCTATAAAGGCTTATAAAAAAGAAAGGGATGGGAATATTAGAATTTTACCAGTCACTGGAAAAGTCTTGTCTCTTATTATGTGCAAGAAGAAAAAAAATTTTAAAAACCAGCAGTGACATTTATGGCATTTATAATATGGCATTATTTTCATCTTTAAAAAAAAAAAAAAAAAAACAAGGGGGGTGGGGGGAGTAAAGTATATTTATTTTCTTTGTGGTCAGGGCTCCAGCTGCCAAGACAAGGAGCACAGCCCTAAGGAATACAGGAACAGATGCTGCAGGATATGCTGCTTCAGCAGTCAAAAGAAGTATAAGCCTAAACGAAATTTGTGACTAGTGAATCCAAGGTATCTACAAAAATCACAGCACTCCTCAGATGCAGCTCTGCCTGTACAGATGATACTACTTACTCTGAGGTCATAAGGAAGCATTACCAGCATGCCACTGTGATCCATGAAATACGAAGCTTCGTTATGTTCGTATAGTTTTTTATTTCCGGGCATTAGCAGTGGAGTATTCAGCTTGATGGCTCCTGCACAAAACCAGCAAAATACTATTATCTCCTATCTCAGCAGTACCATCCGCTTTTTACAAGTTCATGAGCAACCTTGCAGGCTATGATATCTCAACTAATACCTTTTAAAAATTACATTATTTTAAGAGTCCTTAATAGACTTTCCTCTTCCACCACTTAAAGAAGAATATCAAAGTTTGTTCGATGACTTATCTTGCGTGCTTCCTGCGCTCAGCAGGCAGCCGACAGAGAAACAGAGGAGAACTGCCAATTCCACAGCCCCAGCAAACCCTCACCTTGCCCTTCCTCTTTAAAGTCCACCCTTCATAAGAGCATGCCTACGAAAAACACGCAAAACTCTACAGACACCAGTAGTACTGTTTTGGTCTAGAGGCACTTCCATAGAGAACAAATATTGTTCACATATGTTGTATCCTGCATATCAAAAATGTACTAGGAGTGTTTATGATTCACTTTAAAACCTTCTAAATATCATTCTCTGCTTGCTATATTTGCAATCATCTATCCGTATGAATCCAATCTTCACTGAAACCTTACTATTAACAATACTATCACTAGTCATTGAAAAACACTTTCCTGTTTTAAATTCTCTACTGATTCTGAAACAGCTATTTGATTATAGAAGCTTTACTTACATCTTCAATTAGATTTCAACATAAGCATTTAAATCAGGAAAAAAAGCAGCCCCAAATACAAGGAAATGCTTCTAACCGTCACACATGGCAGATACAATCTAATGGAAAAAATATATATCCAAAAAAGCCCATTTTTTTTTTCTAAAAGCAAGAAAACATTTCTCTCTCTAAAACGCTGACAGTTTCCAAAGTCTGTCAAGCTTTAAAGGGGGTGGGAGGGAGTAACTTCTTACTTTTCTTCGCATTTCTCAGTTTCTCATTCTTTTGTATTGCCAAACCCTGATCATGTTTAATCAGATTATGATATATTAGGAAATCTATTTTTATATAAAATAATATAATGAACGCTTATAAAACCATACAATTTTTTACATTTCAAATGTGACAGAGTGTCCATAAAGTTTCTTCCTCTTTTAAAAGCTGATTTTAAGCAAATACTATTACTAATGACTAGATAGAGTCCTGGAAAGAAAAACCAAAGACTATTAAACACCATGACACCAACTGTGGCTCAGGAAGCTCCTGAACAGCAAATCATTGCTAAGAGCAGTATCACTGCTCTTGAATTCTTGGCCACGAGCTGGCGGGGCTCATTGAGAGGGCTTTAAACTAGGTTCGAAGGAGGAAGGGGATATTGCCCAGCTCACTAGGGATGAGCCCAGGCTTGGAGTGCCAAGGCCAGGGGTGAGATTGACAGCCCAGCTCAAGTGTGTTTACACCAATGCACGTAGTATGGGCAATAAACAAGAGGAGCTGGAAGCCATCATTATACAGCAGGACGGCTACGACTTGGTCGCCATCACAGAAACGTGGTGGGACAACTTGCATGACTGGCATGCTGTCATAGATGGCTACAGACTCTTTAGGAAAGACAGGTCAACAAGGAGAGGTGGGGGAGTTGCTCTATATGTGAGGGAGCAACTGGAATGCATTGAGCTTGGCCTGGGGGCAAGTGAAGAAGGAGTTGAAAGCTTGTGGGTTAGAATTCAGGGACAGGCTCACAAGGGTGACATTACGGTGGGTGTGTACTACAGTCCACCTGACCAGGAGGAGGAGGTTGATGAGGCCTTCTACAGGCAGCTGCAAGCAGCCTCACAGTCACAGGCCCTGGTTCTCATGGGGGACTTCAACCACCCTGACATCAGCTGGGAAGACCATACAGCTAGGCAGGCGCAATCCAGGAGGTTCCTACAGAGCATCGATGATAACTGTCTGATGCAAGTGGGGGAGGAACCAACAAGGAAAGGTGCGCTGCTGGACCTCGTGTTAACAAA